CAGATGACATAGCCAACAAGATGCAGAGTCTTTTGGACACATTGTGTGGCAATTTGGGAATCTTTAGGATGCGTTTCTCGCAACCCAAATGCAATTTGTTGCTCTAAGATTGGTCTTCAACTGTATCCCACCTAACAATAGAGAGTGAAATGCTTGAGTGAGTTGAACACTTCACTTACCTGGGAACTCGGATCAGCCCTGGTGGCTCAGTGTTCGAAGAAATCTCTGAACGGATAAAAAAAAGGGCTTGGTTAGCTTTTGTCACCTTATGCCATTTATGATGCCACCACGATATCCGATTGTCTATTAAGGGTCAAGTGTACTGTGCTGTGGTCCGCGCTCTGTTCCCCTGTGAAGTTGTGAAACATGTTCATTAAATGTGGAAAACATGAGAAGGCTTCAGGTGCTCGACCACTATTGCCTTCGTAGCATAGGCCGTGTCACCACGTGAGTAACGCAGAAGTCAGGCGTAGAGTTTTAGGGAGAAGAGGTAAGTCAGTTAATGCGGTTGTGAACCCTCATCGACTGAGATGGCTGGGACATGCTTCACGTATGCTTAACCACCGTCTGTTTCGTCGCACAATGTTGGTCTAAATAGTTTCAAGCTGCAAACATGTTCGGAGTGGCCAGACTAAAACATGGCATCAATGCATGAAGTCCTTGACTGTTGGTTTGAGCCATGCAGAGCGATGTAGGCTAGCCAGTTGGGATCCGGGGGACAAGAGAAACCAGTGGTTGGAGACTCTAGGTGATATTGCTGAGAACCGATGTCAGTGGAGCAGATGTATTCTCATCTTAACCTCTACACTTAGCCCCATCATTTTCTCATTATGATATAAATGCATCATGACTCAGCAATGTGGGTACTCTATTTACAACCACTAAATCACAGGTTTGGATACTCTTTCTTGTACGTTGATTCACGCAACTAAGTGATGATGTCCGGGAACATAGTGCTCACAAACGTGCGTGTTATCCCTCACATAAATCAACCTGGGAATTTCACACATTACTGACTAATTTGCAGGCAATACGGGTGGTTTGAAGATTTCGAGTTTCATGAATTTGTGTTATGTATCCTCCATAACTTGCACGTCACATTCACTTTTGATAATCCAATATATAAATAATGCTTTGTAGGGATACTTCTGGGGCAGCACTCGCGAAATGTGTTGTTCATAACTTTGCATTGTCACAGTTTGCCGCTTAATATTCATTTTGTAGTGATAATTTTTATCAACATGATACAAACTTCCTTATCGCTAAACAAACCTATGCATTACAATAACCATAGTTTTTCCGCTTCTTTCGTGTAGAATGGTGTAATTTGTAGATCTGAACTTTCAAGAAATCTAAGCTGTTTTAACCCATGAACCCATCACATTTATTTTCGAATCGAACAGTTTTATGTATGATTAAAAGACTTTGCGGATGAGTTTTTGTACTACTATGTTAACAGCTGTAACTAATGAAAAGTATCACAGCTTTTGTTATTCTGCAAGAACAATAAAAGTGTCGTATATGCCCCTAATGTGTGTATGCTTCAACCTACATATGTGGTTAAATGAATAACCTCTTTTTGTGTATTAAATGATTTAGATTATTTTCATACTTATAACTCGTGAGGTTTCCAAATAGCGACGTGTGGCCTTTATTCGATAGTCTTTCTGTTATGGAAATCTGTGTTTGGTGTGAATTTATTACTCCTTGTCTAAAAATAAGTATGAGGTTCGATTGTTTTGTCGTGGGAGCATGAAGTATTAAAAGAAGTGCATTTCTTGCTGGTGATTCATATTCAGAAAGGGTGAAGCATAAAAAAATCACTAAGAACTCTGTACTCGTGAAAAGTCACAAAGCTCTCTTGAATCATGTTCTCAACCGTTGTTTAGTCTGGTTGATCTGCTTTGCAATTTCCTACTGTTTCTGATGACTATTCTCAAACCATATCGGCATCCGCCTCAGAGTAAGCACAGAAAACAAAACCTTTCTAATTTTGAATACTTGAGGTTTCAACCACCAACATTGTAGAAATTAAACTCTGTTTTCAAATACATTGAGTTTGGTAAAAAGTAGTGTCAGAAGATATCGGAGAACGGTATTTACCAGATTATGAGTTTGTTTTTTTAGTCACAAAGTATAGTCGGTGTAAAACTGCTATTCATGTGCCTACCTCCTGGAAGTTACTACCTTCTGTTTTAAAAATGCATATATATATATATATATATATATATATATATATATATCTGTAGGGATAGATGTTGACTATGTTAAACAGAGTGAAACCAGATCAACAACAACACATCTAAAGTACAGCTGGATATTTCAAATTCTTTTTAGTCTACTCTTAGTCCAAATTCTTCAGTCACTAAGAGAATTGATATCCATTTACATACTGTAATAGTTCATGCGCTCAAAGTGGTGTGCAAATGCTTGTAGACTAATTTCATGGTATTACTTTCTGATTGAAAGCATCTCAATTTCTTTTCAAAAAGTTTAGTATTACTGTGTTATTTATTAAGTGGACTTGAATGATTGATTTACGATCGATCTCAGTGGGTGGTCTTTAATTTTGCATGAATTCGAAAGAAAATAAACAGAGAGTAGTTGATTTTCACGTAAAACCTACTTATTTATTTTATTGAATACTAAGGTTTACGTTTCAAGAATTTTGTGGAATCAGCGTACATCGAGTATTATACTCGATTAATAATTATTGAGTTCCTAAGTGTTGTGGATCATCATCAAAATCAACACAGGACCAGGCATTACTACTTAGCGGTCCAATTTATCACGTCTCACATCACCATATCAAGTAATAAGGTAATGAAACGGAAGATGAAGAAAAGAAAAATCGGTCAAAAGAAGTAAAAAGTAGTAAAAGAGGGGAAGGAGGAATGAGAAAATGATGGGGCTAAGTGTAGAGGTTAAGATGAGAATACATCTGCTCCACTGACATCGGTTCTCAGCAATATCACCTAGAGTCTCCAACCACTGGTTTCTCTTGTCCCCCGGATCCCAACTGGCTAGCCTACATCGCTCTGCATGGCTCAAACCAACAGTCAAGGACTTCATGCATTGATGCCATGTTTTAGTCTGGCCACTCCGAACATGTTTGCAGCTTGAAACTATTTAGACCAACATTGTGCGACGAAACAGACGGTGGTTAAGCATACGTGAAGCATGTCCCAGCCATCTCAGTCGATGAGGGTTCACAACCGCATTAACTGACTTACCTCTTCTCCTAAAACTCTACGCCTGACTTCTGCGTTACTCACGTGGTGACACGGCCTATGCTACGAAGGCAATGGTGGTCAAACACCTGAAGACATATATATTACATGAAATACTATATGGTACCTCAAAATATTTAACCTATCATGCGAAAAACTTATAGGGTTATAGTAAGTAGTACTAATCTACAAGCATAGTTCGAAATAAAATACACATGCATACCAGAAAGATAGCCAAAGTTCAAGGGAGAACATTTATGAGAGTGTCTGGATTGAAATGTTTATGCTATTACACTTACATTACAGAAAAAAATTTCAAGAAATCGTCTTGTTAATAATAATAATAATAATGATCACTTCATTCCAAACAATCTTGATACGATTTTTTAGTGGTAAACAAAACGTTAGTTAGTGAAATCACAACCAGGATTTTGGCTGGTAATCCAAGATATTTCGGTTTGAAACCAGTTACATTACCGATTTCCATTCAATTTGAAGCATATTTTTCTGATACAAAGTTGTAGGCGTTTTACTGTGCAGTTTAAAGAAAAGAAAGAAACTAGTCTAGTCTCAGGAAATGATCGGTAAAACTGACATGACTTAGCCAACACTTTTAATTACACAGAATATGACTCATGAGATCTACCATTTACTTCCATTTTTCTATGGTTACAACATCTAAAAAAAGTGTTGATTCATTCTAAACTTCCATATATTGATTCCGACCGGTACACCAATTGAAATATTAGTCTGATATCTACCTGAGCTTGAATAGATTTAAAAGAAGGAGTCAAAGAAAACAATATGATGAGGTAAAAAGAAAGACAAGGTTAGGACGTGTGCCAGATATTGATTTCGAACCATCTCTCCTAAATATTTAAGCTACAAGTTGCCTCAACTTGAGTATCATTTGATAACTTAACCATATTGTCACTACAATGTCACGTGATTTTTCATCTCTGCATAAAACACACGTTGAAATTTTGTATAGCTGGTGGTTACGTTTCCACAGATTCGTACCTGTATAACAAATTTTTAATTAAAATACATCAGAAGTACAAACTGCATAACCATGAAAACATGAGGAAATAATCAACTCTGTTACATAGATTGCATCTTATCGCTCCACTATATACATGAAATCATGCATCCAAATTGATCTTAAACATCGGAGCACGTAATCTGAATTCATTACTGGAACACTTAGTTTTTACTAGCGGTTTTAAATGACTGAAAAGTCAGAAACAAATCTATGACTAAGACGGTGGGGATGCGAAAATTGCAAACGTCTGCCCCATTGCCCAAACTAACAAAAATGATGGGGCAATCAAACATAATGGATACTTCGACTAAAACGTTTGAAGTATCAAATGAAGTAGGTGATATATATATATATATATATATATATATATATATATATATATATATATATATATATATATATAATATTTGAGAAGCTTCATTACACATAACCAACACTTCAAATCAATAAATAACCACATTACTTTGAGTAATTGAATGTTTTTTCCATATACTGAAAATATATTAAATTACTGAAGTTAGTGCGGTTTTGATAGTTTGAAGTGTTGGTTATATGTATTGAAGCTTCCAGAACATACGTATCACTTCCTTGATTTGATGCTTCTTTAAATTTTTTAGAAGAAGTATTCATTATAGTGAATTGTCCTATTATTTTCCTATCCATCCACTTTATTTCTCTATTTTTGCAAGTTTGTGTGACGATGCAAGGTCAATAAATTATTTACTCACAACTCTTTGATCCTTTGAAAAAGCCAGCGCGATGAACCCTGTGACCTTTTGAATGTTCCCTCTGAGCTCAAATTCCACATAGTTTTCGGATCGTACAGATACCAATTTCCATGTGACCAGAAATGCACAGGACGACTCTGTGCACATGGCAGGTCTCAGACAACCTTTTGTTACGGCACATTCATGTAATGTAATATCAGGGAAAATATCGGTGGCCAAACTTCCAAAAAGTAGCAGAGAAAATGTATAGGCAACCGAAGGAAACATCAAGCCGAAATAAACAACTTCAAAAATTGCGCTTTATTGAGGGTATAAGTATTTAGTATAAATGAAACGACCTAACAATCCAATATCCAAAATCTTTTAACGAGCTAGTGTAAACCAATTGATTCTGTCGCGCTTGCTTCTAGGTCTTGCAGAACGGTTCCAGGTCTTTGGTGAATTCCAGTGCAGTAGGTCTACCCACTCGACTGCTGTAGCTCTGGTTAGCCCGACGGGCGTTTGGGTGTTGTTTAGATTTGTAGAGTGTTGTTTGTTTGTTTGCTTTTTCCTCCGAGGACTGTGGTGCAGATGGATTCTTCAAATATCGTGTCAGCAGACAATTGGTTGGACTGGTTGTAAAAAGGAGATGAAAAATATGTGCAGAGAAATCAAGGGAGAGAAAGCTCAGAGAGAGACAAAATAGAAAAAGAAAAGGAAAAGAGGAAGAATAATAATATATATTTTAAAAAAGATCAGGAAAAAGGAAACGGCAAGGAAGAATAAACATTGGTAGGTTCATGGGGAATAGGTGATAGGGAGAGCTTTTGTTAAAGTTCGAGAACGTAAAGTGAGAAGAATAAATAACATTATAGGACGAATGAGAATGTGGTAATTCTTTTAGTAGAGGACGGTAACTAGAGGGGACGTCCACAGGAAGGTATAAGGTTAAGCCAAGTTCTCAGTGATAGCGGTTTTGCTAAGTGTTCAGTAACGGTCGGTCGTACCGATTTAGCAAGTCGTGTTAGCCTGGTCCACATCCCAGTTGGGTGAGTGCAAACCGTGCGTCGCTGCGTAACTGTCCAAACTCTTCTTGAAGCTGTCAACAGACCGAGCAGTAGCAATCTCGGCAGGCAATGCGTTTCAGTGGCCGCAAACTGGCAGAGAGAAATGTGATCGCACACGGGTTTTCGCTCTTTGGTGAGCGATTCTCTTCGGGTTACCACGAGGATCGCCATAGTGGCCGTTCGGTAGGATTCCACTGTTCGGATGACTTGAGTTGCTGAGTATTTTGTAAGCCGTTATCAAGTCACCACGTAATCTGCGGTAGCTTAGGGAGAAGAGCTTTGGATCTTTCAGCCTGTTCTGATATGGTTTTTGCCTCATTCCTACGACACCCTTTGTAGCTCGCCTTTGGACTTTCTCCAGGAGGTTCACATCTCGTTTCACATATGGTGGTGCAATGACGTTGTGTGCCTCTAGGCGGGGTCGTATATGGGTCTAATGCAGCTTTAAAAAGATTTCCGGGGTCAGGGCACCCAGTTGTCTGCGCATGAGGCGCAGTACTCTGTAGGCTCTGGAGGCATCTCCTGGATAATTGGGTCTAGTGTCTAGTTTGTCAGTTAGTATTAGTTCCGGGTCTTTCTCTGTGGTGGTGTGGGAGAGTTGTGTTCCACGGAGAGAATAGGATACCTTACGAGAGCCCGGGGTGCGGAGAAACATGGCTTGGCATTTATCTAGGTTAAATGCAAGTCCAACAACATCCACCCACTCTGCAAGTAATCTGAGGTCACTTTGCAGTGCACTTGATTCTGTTTCTGACGTCACAGCTCTCCATAGCTTAACATCACTGTAAAGTAGAATTGGGGAGCTGAGATTCAGTGGGAGGTGACTCACAAAAAGAAGGAATAGCAGTGGACCCAGAATCGCCCCTTGTGATACACCAAATGATGATGTCCTCCAAGTCGAGCAAACTCTCTTGGCTTTTGTGCAGAATTGTCTACCGTCCAGATAGTCCTGCAACCATGAAAGCACTTGTCCCTTGATGCCCAACCTTTCTATTTTGTAGATAAGAACTGTGTCGAAGGCCTTAGTAAAGTCTAGGAAAATAACATGGACAGGAATTTGGAGGTCCCAGCATGCCGTCCACTTATCACCTGCCGCCAGAATGTTTGTGGCACAGGACCTACCCTTTCTGAAACCATGTTGTGCACCACTAAGTGCTTCCCTCTTTTCTAAGTACTCCCTGGCATGGTCGTCTACCAGACTCTCCATTACTTTTGACACCACTGGTAGGAGGGCTATGGGTCGGTAGCATTTTGGGTTCTGCCTGTCTCCACCTTTGAAGATGGCGGACAGAATAGCACTTTTCCACTCTTGTGGGAGCATGTGATTGTCTAAGAAGTGTTGAAACAAGTTACACAGCGGACCGCACAAGGCACCCATGCATTGTTTCAGCACAGCCGGTTGGATGTCATCACACCCTGGTGATTTCCCTGGGCGGAGCTTTGACAGTTTTTCGAGGACCATAGCAGGAGTTACCTTTATTCCAGGTAACTCTACTGCGTTTGGTGGTGCTGAATTTCGGTCGGACCACTGGTAATTTCGGTTTGATAGGGACGCATTGAGTTGCGTATCGAAGGTGGCGCTAAAGGCCTCGGCGATCTCTAGTCCGGAGAGGTTCTCACCGTTTAGGCCTTTCAGGACGCAAGCCCCCTGGCTGGTGGATTTTCTGCCTGCCATAAACCGATATAGGTTTATGGGATTTGCCTCGAGCTTTTGAGCAAGGTTCGTCCGGAATGACCTCCTGTCTCCCCTTACTCTAATGTTACATCGATTTCTTAGGGCAATATACACGGTGTGGTCAGACTCTTTTCTGGAGGTCCTCCACTTGTGCCATGCTTTCCTCTTGGCTTTCAAAAGGCGTTCAGTGCCTCGCTTCAACCATGAGGTTCGTTTCCGCGGTATTGCTGTGATTACCGGGACGTTTTCAGAGACAGCCTTCTTGATGATATCTCTGACTAGTTCCCAATGTTGGTCAATCGACAGGTTGCTCCACTCCTGAGGCCATGATGCTGTCGACAGATATTGGTTCATCGCCACGTAGTTCGCTTTGCTGTAGCAAAGACAAGGGCGAGATCCCTCCCATGGCAGTTGTTCGGAGGGTACCAGATTGAACGCTACTTCGTCGTGACCGCTGCTGCCGAGGGAGGTTTGAACCTGTACATTTTCTACCAGCAGTGGGTCACTGGTAAAAAGGTAGTCCAGTTTGGACGGCTTTTCACCCGACCCCTAGCGAGTGTCGTCACCAATATTCTCGTGCAGCCCAGCCCTTTGGATAGCGTTCAGTAGGTTTCGGTCGAACCTTCGGCTTGAGGTTCCCTTGTCCTGCCCAAGATTGAGAGTCGGGGCATTAAAGTCGCCGGCTATAATGACCCGGTCATATCTGATGGACGTCGCTCGGGACATTACTTGCAGCAGTTGTCGGTTATCTTCCACGCCGCTAGTAGGTGTTCCGTAGACACCTTCTACTAGGTACTTGGTGTGTCCAACCTTAAATCGACACCAGATGGAGTCTGGGAGCCCTGAAAGTAGGGTTCCAGTTGCTCGTTCACTTTGAAGGTCGTCACTTACAAGCGTCGCCACTCGGCCTCCTTCCTTAAACTCTGTTCCTCCTGAACAGACGCATACCGCCTATACTGGTTTCGACGTCACTAATGTCCTGTGATAACCAAGTTTCCGTCAGGATTATGACAGTTGGGGCAAGGTAGGAACGGAGAAATGGTAATCTCCCCATTTTACTTCTAAGTCCCTTAACATTGCTGTAAAGATACTTGGCTATGTTTCTAACGGCTAAGGGTATCTTGGTGCCGGCAGACTGGAGGGAGTCGTGCGCAGTGGTGAAACTCGCTATAGGACGTCCAGCTCCAGTGGAACCGGCCCATTCATATTTTTTCCCACAATGGTTTCTGGGGGTTTCACAGAGTCCAGGCTTGATTGTGCATCTTGTCTGTTGACAGTGATGGTGATTTCGGGGGTGGGCGGTGATGCCATTTGCTGTTGTCGCAGTGTCCCGGGCCTGCTTTCACAGCAGCGAGCATTCCCACTGATGTTATTTTTACTGTGTACCAAGTTTGCAGTACACTGGTTAAAAGTTCTTGGCAGCCGAAGTTAACAGCCGTCAGCCGGGGTGCTGTTATCGTCATCAAGTGTGAGGGACGTGGCAGTCTGCAGACCGCCGCCGCTGCTATCCCACTTAGCCCATCCTCACTGACAACCACTGCCATTGCTGGAAGTACTTTTCTACGACTGTGCCGGTTGTCAGCTCCGGTATGCCGCGGACAACCATAGTTGTTCGTTTCAGCATTTGGGGGGCCTCGTGAAATACTTTTCTTGCTGACCAAGGGCGGTCTGGTCTCGCTCTAATGCTAGATGACCTGTTGATGACTAGTGTGTGTGACTTCAGCAAGAATCTTCCCACCCCTTTAGCCGAGCTTAGGGCAACTCTCATTGGCGGAGGCTTTTCCTGAGGTGGGTAGTTGCCTTTGTAGAGCCTGCACAGTTTTGCTTCTAGGCTACCCAGTCCTAGTGTGGTGCACACGGTTTTCCATTGCTGCTTGTCAAACGATTCTCTGCTCTCAGGGAGACTCTCACGGCACACAGGGAAGTTAAATAAGATGATAGAGCTCAACCTGTCATCAGCTTCTCTATTTTCGTGTGCTGCCGGTGGTTTTTTGTGGGAAGGGTGCACCTTCTTTTCCACTAACACCCATTTTTCTTGTTGCACAGTGGGGTAAGCCTCTAGAGTAGCTTCAGAGTCAGGGACTAATGTAGTTGGTCGCATACCCGGTCGTCGTTTTGGTCTTTTTGGACTATTCACCGGTGTGACTGGCCGGGGTACAGAGCTAACACTCTTGCTGCTTGGGCCTGGGGTAGTGGTGTGTGGGTACCGGCATCACGGTAGCCACTGCGGTGTCTTTTACGACCTCCATCAGCGAGTCTTTAGAAAAGAGTGGCTTTATACGGCACTATGGGCAGGTGTACCGGAACCACGTGTATGGGTAGCGCGCCATGAAGGTGTAATATTGGCCTAGTATGTCCCCGTCACAATGACTGTGCACCCACTTATTGCAGATGCTACGCTCAAAGGCAGCATCTCTCTTGGCCACGGTGAGACCACATGTATGACAGTCACCAGCCTGACTAGAAGGTTTAGCTGACGGCTTTCTTTTCCTTCTCTTTCTTCTCTCAGGGGTAGCCTTCACAGGTAGACTAGGGTTTGGGCTGGTGGCACCAGAAAGACATGCTCGTTGACAAACCACAGCACAAGGGTTCACAGG